AGCTACATCCCGTTCCATTTTAAACAATATCGCTTTACCCCACTGTCAGCTACCACACGTATTGTATATTAAAGCTTATAGTCTATGTCCTGCGATGCACGAAATGTCCCTGAAACCCCGCGCATATCTACGGATTCTTCGGTGCCGTTTTATTTGCCAAGTCCAAATGGTCACTTGTCAATTTGCCTATGGTTCAATCACCCCGCTTGTTGTCAGCATTCATTCAACCTTTGCTGCTTTTAAGTGAAAACCAATATTCATGTGAAATGCACGAGCGTTGAACAGTGGATGAACATGAATTGAAACATTTTGTTTCATCAAGTTTACAGCAATAAGCTGTACAACCATTCTAAATGCGTTCGTCATTGATCTGTCTTTGCTTGTAGGCGCGACAAACAATGGTACTGTCACGTCGAAGCGAAGAGCGAGACAATTGCCCCGTTTGCATCTTTCAGTCCTCACTTTGTCAATATTGTACCCGGGTATTGAACCATGCTGCTATCGATTGGCCTTCCTCAGTGTTTATCGATTCGCCGAGTCGATGGCGGCGTGTTCTGTCTTGACAATGATACCCATTTTCAGCAGACGTGATGCTTGTTTGGTTATTCCGGATGCTCGGCGGCTGAGCTGGATTTCGACGAGATTAAGGTAGCTTCATTTCCAACATGGACCAATGGTCTTAGGTCCGTGTTCTTATGGTTTTTGAAGAAAACTAGGAGTATTGCCTCTTTAGAAAGCATGATGATAGTAATCAAGATTAACCGAGCTAAGTAAATATATTCAGCTTTGCTAGATGTATCTGCTGCCAAATCTACATTTACTGTTGTGAATACAGATTCGAAAGACTAGCCGTGGCTTTTACCTAATCCCCCTAGATTTGTTGTATCTGGTGGAATTTGTAATGTGGCAGCGACTTGTGATTTTACGATGAGAAGTGATTTTGCGAGCACTAAATTGCCTCAGCATTCATTCCGAAAATATATACTCCGATGACTGGCCTCGGAACTTGAGCATTAATTCGCTGGTTGCCAAACCACCCATAATTGACTCTACCATGGGACGTGAGATAGCTGATGGTTTGCATGGCTTTATTGTCATTTGGTAACATGTAATGGGAATAAATATTAAGAATAGACGTAGAACCTGCTGGGATATCATGATTTCAGAAGAATTGGAATACAGATCGGATTTTGTGTTTTCTATTGTAGCAGCTCTTCGGTTTTGACTCAAGTGCTTCTCCAGACTTTACCGCAGGAGTATTTCACCACAACCATTTCAATTGCTGCCTAACTGGTTTTACAATTTTAGAATTTCGTGTTCTGCGAAAGACGCAAAGAAAAACGGTTTCTACTGAAAGTGTAAACTGACACGGTGTATTGCTCCTTGTGAGGATTGTAGTGCTATATCCGCTCCCACACTTAGGCTTGGAGAGCACCGTACTTTTCAAACATCTTCCTTGTAGAAGAGAATAATAAGCATTTTAGTCATATTGCAAAGAAACCCAACGCTTTGTTCGGCACTTCACGTTTAATTTCTGCTTTGGGATTTTAAATCAATGGACCGAGTGCAAAATCCGTGTTGCATTTTATTTAACGTTTGGACAATAATCACTTTACTTAGAGTAAGACTCACTTAATACTTCCTGAACTCGAGATGCCGCCTCATTTGAAAAGTCGGTTAGGATGTATACCGTGCACTCATGCCGTTTGTCATGGCGACGTTTTGCTGCTTGGTGCCAGTTTAGTCATTGTCCCATATGTTTGGTTATAATTCATGTATCGATAATACTACAAATGGGTTTAAAAATGAGGTAAATTAGAGGTACTCGTCATGTAGTATTGGAAAATAATCGCAAAAGTGTATGCGAAAGCGCGCCCGTACTTTAATCGGCAACGCAATACACCGTAGTTTGAATGGAAATGGCCCAAGTTCATTTGCTATTTTGCACTTAACTGTTAGTTTTACGACAAATTAATGCTTTTTCGGATAATTATTCGAACCAATTTGCTTAGAATAATTTCCACTCGTTGTTATTTTGGGAATAGGAGACAGAGCCACGAGAATTACGGTGATCTTCCATCTGCAGACCTTGGTTGAAACACAATCATTGATGGATTTATATGAATGTAAATAAATGAGTAGCTTAATAACAAAGATTCGCCACATAGCGAGTAAGTGGATTGCATACAATTAGCCTGTATGTGGAACCATTCACTACAAACGTCATCTGGCTGTTTTCATCCCGTACGACACTCTGATGCTGAAAGCACCAAACATAGAGAGATGTCCATCAATATGGTTAGCTTTTGTATAGACGGACGACTGAGCCAATTCCCAAAGTGACACATGAAGTCTAACCACCATTTTTCATTACGTTATCAGGATATCTTGCTTGGCTATTTGGTATATTTCGGTACATATATCCGATATATATCAGATACTCAATGTCCCAGATGTTTGATTGCCTGCACTTTAGTCGTTTGACAATCTCACACCGAGCCGCTCGGTTTTTACCTTATGGTGAGGCATTTACGCTACTATGTGAGGAACTCGTTAATATTACATTATATCTGACACTTCCTGTAAAGGACCGAATCTTCTTTGTGATGATTCTGCAATTGGAACATGGTAAGCATTAATGGTTTGGGTAAATCCGTCAACATTTTCTTTATGCGAAAAGCACCTGAACACAAAATGATAGGGATTTACATTGCATGAAACGCCAATTAAACATGCTTTTCGATTGACACTTTTCGATCCAGCTCACCAAGCAGAAAATCAAAGATGAATTTTGTCAAGACCCTCTACTTTTATTGTGCATTTTATCGTGGCACATATAAACGCGGATTGGTTCCACTTCTGAAATCGAATGTAGTTTGTTGAAATTCCAGTTTTCGTTTGTGAAATAATTAGCCAGCATTTACATGTGACGCACATTGGAACCGCATCCGCTCATGGGTATTTCAGTCTCGGTTGGAATCCAACAGATATTTACATGGTGCACAGCGGTCAGCGGATACAATATTAAATTCGGCACCTCTGTCGTCCATAGCTTCTAATCACTGTTTACGTTAAGCAGCCGCGTTTGGCCAACTGACAATTTGCGCTTGTTTACATCAGCGTAGGAATAATCTGCATATTTTTAACAGCAAGTAGGAAGACAGCAATTGAAGCGATAAATTTGTAGGTCATCAGAACAGCTTCCATCCTATTTTCTGTGTAACCACTGCACGAAAGAGAAAATGTGGCAGCGGACAATGTGCACTGGAATAGATCGACATTCGAGTCTGTGTACTGCTTGTCGTCTTGACTACGGTGCCAATTACTTTTCATGCGTTGGTCCGTTAGCACACATGCGCTGAGAATGTCACGTGTAGTGTAGGGTTCGCGATTCGGTTTTTGTGGGACAGTAACGAAGACCACATACATTAGTGAACTTTAGGGCAAATCATTTGCAAGTACTCAATCTCAAGTCGGAAAACCCAAACGAAATGTATTTGCGCGTGAATGATCACCGAAAAGATGGGCACCTTTTTATTCCACATCTGTACATGCAACATAGAGTGCGCATTTTATCCAGCGCTTTAATGCAGATTATCATTCTTTTCACGCCTGCTTCATAGAGCTGTACGTGTCGTAATCGCTAAAGTCAGAATTTTAATTTCATCGGGTACTTGCATATGATAATATTGCAAATACAGGTTCAAAGTTATACCAACAGAGAACGTGAACTCAATGATTGAGCGAAGGATTATCAACGCTGCAGGGTGCCCTGTGTTATCGTCTGGGGCTAATGTTTTCCTACTGCACGCTGAATAACTGTATAGACCTGCTTTGCTGGTGCACCCGCTGTATGCCTATTATTGCCTACAGATGAGGTAAACACTGATTTTTCAAGGTTTGGAGCTGTAGATGACGATTTGCAACCTACAGTCTGAGACAGCATCGATGTCTACCGGCTAGCTATGTGCCTAGACTAAAATATTTTGCCAGCAGCTACATCGTCCGTTGAAAGTGCCGTAGTGTTATGCCTGAAACGTGTTAAGCAAGCAACTGGAAGCAGAGAAGCTGGTAGCTCTTTGTCAATATCCGTGATTGGTTTTTCGGGATCCAGCGCCTCGTTAGTTGCGGAGCACCGTGACGAGGTTTCTGCGTCGTGCACTATTGGCAATCTCTATTTTAGTGACTTATAGTGCAGCTTTGCAAACGAGCATATGTGTAGTTCATAGATGTACAATACCGCCCAAGAGACAGCAAAGCTCACAATGATCACATAGATAGTTCTAAAGTGGTTCGTTATTGTCAAAAGTGCCTGAAAATGGATTTTTAAAAAATCTCGGTCTATTTGCAAGGTTATTATTAGAATCCGGATAAGAAAACTCCTTTCAACACGCAATTGTATGACGTATTTCATATAGAGCTGATAAACATCAGATGATTTGATCACTGTCCAGCTATTTTAAATGGTGTTATGGAAAAGGAACAGTTGTTTTGTAATGCGGAACTGGAAACCTTAGAGATGTATTTAATGTTGTGATCTTGTAAAATATTTCTGCATTTAAAGGGAAGCGAACAAAACAATTTGTCTCTATCTAACTTCGTTGCATGTGTTTTAATTAGAAGTAGACTGAAATCATAATGGATCATATTGTTCATTGCGCATTCTGGGTGGGACACAGTCTTTGGCATTCTAACGGTCCTCTGACACAGACATTTATTATAATGTATTAGACACTGGTCTTTCTCTAGTCAAACATGTGTGACCATATCATGGAGATAAAATTGGACATAACGGTATTGGTGAATGCGACCATTAACGCTATACGTTATTCCGTGCCATGCGAACCGTTGGTAACATTAAAGGATGTCAGCAATTTTCCCCCGTCTGACCTTTAACCCGAAACATTATCCGTTTTGCAGTCTCTTCTTTTCGTGCAGTTAATCTGCTTCTTTGGTTTACCCGTTTGCGACACTACTGGATGAATCGCAAACATGCGAAGATGCCGAGTCCCGTGAGCGAGGGAGTGATTGCACCTGAAACGCAACATCAATTGTACAAATCATCAAATACCGACGGCAACTTTCCAACTTCTGATCCATGGCAATTTGTCACTTCCGGATACCGTGTGCAACAACCCGGGGAGGTGTATCCGTACGCATTTTCCAATCAGCAGCTCACCTCATTTGATCATGGTCGATCACATTTCAGCGCACCTGATTCTTCTGGTCCATATGCATTTGGACTTGGTTCACATAAACTCGTAAAGGAACCAAATGTAGCTGCTACTTATAGGCCCCAACTCACAAACCTTCCACATGTACAAGCGGCAATGCCAGCGTCAATTCACAACAGCGACCCTCATGGTCCGGTAGGTTCATCGTTGTCTATGATGCAATACCCATTGCGAACATCAATGTCATTTCACAGTATTTTATGCTTATCTCACTTACTCCCTTCGACGATACAATTATGCTATGAATACTGTGCAAAAAGACTTATGGAGCAGCATAAATTCCGACTAAAGTTTTTGGATACATTAGTGATTGATACATAGTGAGAGACATTATAACTCAATACCTCGATACAAATCGTATAACCCATAAAAAACCGACTTATAAAATTGCAAATAACGCCCTGTGTATAGTTTCAAGAAAGCTGTAAGTCTAAAACAATATATGCGGCAATTAAATATACTAGCTAAAATGGAGTTTCAGTACCTATGTCCCATGGTTTGGTTGCGTCAGGTGCTAGAAAATGGGCTACCGTTTTACTTGAAAGTTGGCATTTGTGTAAACTAGCGAAGAATAATAATAACTCCATTAATACTAATAATAGCATGCAAACAATTGTGCACCCGGCTTCACAGCAACAATAACAAAGGCAGCTGTGATACTGAACAATTAGTTTAAGCTGTTCGCTTTACTCAACTGCATGTAGCATGAATTGGCCTACCGATCTTAAGCACAAAATTTTCATGTTCACTGATCGTACATTTCGGTCCACTAGCTGCGTCAAGTGAAAAATTTGTAAGGTTAAATATGTGCTTCTTCGGTTCGCCAGAATTTGTTATCAACAACCACAGTTTACGTTACCATATTCATCGTCATCGACCAGTTGCAAGCTTGCATTGGTGTCTGATCTTTATGCCGGTTAAGTCACCACATCGGCCCTTCGGACATGGTTTGATGCGGTTTGACTGTTGCACATAATTACTTCTTCCGAATGGGAATGACTGCAGCGCCATGGACCAATCCTCCTAGCAGGATTTATGAATTAATTAGTATGTGCGTGTTCTATTACTCATAAGTCTATTTGGCGTATAAGTTTTTATTATTAGTATGTATATTGAGTATGAATAAGTAGTATGGATTTATAGTGTGGAACTTTATTACGGATTGACGCAACCTATAGCATTAGGGTTTTACGCTTCTTGCATTTTGATAGTTACATGTACTTAAACCTACATTTTGTTTGCAATATGCATTGGAAGATTTAAAAACAACGAATACTACGCAGTGCCAGGTGCGCTAGCATAGTGACAATAAATTTCAAATTGGTTACAAGCGAACGCAAATTAAATCATAAGTTTTAAACAAACAGATAATATCGCGGATTGTACATTCTCTGTGCGTCAAAGTAAGAGTTGAAGATGAATTGACAGAACATCCGTAAGCGAATAAGTTTGTGAAGGTCACTAGTAGTTATAGGGACCAGCGCTGTCATCTGCAGGTTCAGAACATATAGAATGGCGGAGGATGAGCCGCACTTGATCGCAGTTAGATATCAGTCGCGGCGGACCGCTACCGTTATCCAAGGATCAGTAGGACCAGTCACTGACTTGTAAGAATATAGTCATGCGTTTGAATCCGTCAGGATCCAACGGAAGCACACTCCGAACAAGACGCAGTAGGACGCTGTAGCAGACTAGCACTTCGCTGGATGTTTGTTAGATGTCTGAATGAGTTTGTATTAATACTGGAGTTTACCGCCTTCCTTTTTCATTAATCAACTTAACCACAAAGTGCCATAATTCCCACCTTACAACGACTATATAAATCTTATGAAAAATAGCTTGAGATAGTAGTTTTCTGACCAGAGTAATCAGTATGAAACAAAATTTTAAGCTTCTCTTGCCAATTCACCGTACAGCTGGTCTATGACCTGAAACGAGTCAAAAAAGTGCGGAATCCACAGATAGCTTCCACGAACACTGGGTTCAGTACATGCTTAAAATAAGGAGCAATATGTAACACTGTTTTAGTTGCAATAATTTTCCTTCTACCTTGCTGGAACTCAAGCATTTGCTAAGGAATTGCAAATTCACCTGGAACTGGTAGCATGTTCTGAAACTCGGGAACAACTTTATTCTCTTTTCATAGGCTAGGGTCTGAATTAGCCGGTCTGATTGCCATTACTTAGACTTACTGATACAGGTAAGCATGTTTTGTTACTGTGATATCAAAAATAACAGGCATCAGCAATCGGTTAGTAAGCAATACCGATGCTTCGCTATCGTGCCATAACCACCGGTCACACTTTGGCCAAGGATGCTGCCAGCATCCACTGGTCCCTATCCGGGCTGGAGCCAGTGCCTTCCGATTGCAAGGCAGGGCTTGATCTTTATGGCTACCGACGGGCTAAAATTTCCAGAACTGTTTTAACGCAATATAGGATGGTTCTCTGAATTTATGAAATGCTATGCCTCATTTATAAGTAGAAGGATTTTAGATGTATTTTTGTTCTTAGCAATCAGCCGACAATTCAAATAATTCTACTATCTATCCGGAAAAGCACCAGACGGCTTTTTCGCCCTATTGGG